ACGAGCTCGTGGTGGGCGTGCGCACGCCGCTGTCGGCCGCGGAGGCGCTCCCGGCCGCCGTGCTGCCCCGCGCGTGCGACGGTCAGGAACTTCTGCTCGGCGTGTCGCGGCGGAGGCCCTGGCGGCACGCTATCCTTTGCGAGCGGGTGGCGTGTCGCTCCGCTCCGCGGGGCGGGAGACCTGGAATGGCCCGGGGCGCTGGCGCATGGGGGCCGGGAGGTGGATGGCGTGTCGCGCCGAAGCGTGGTGGGCGAGAGCTGGCGTAGTAACGCGCTGGGCCGAAGTTCCTGACCGTCAGCTCTTCGAGGCAACGCTGACACTCGAACTGCGACGCCAGCGGCGCACCTGGCGTTGGCAGGCGGCACCATCGAGCAACGGCAGCGTCGAGAATGCCCGGCACAACCATCAACGGTGACTCACGAGAGGCACGGTCCAGCTGGAGGCCCACTAGGTGGAGACCATTGGCTCCAAACTGGACGCGTTCCAGCCGGACTCAGGGTCGACGAGAGCACGCTGAGTCCAGCTGGAGTCCCACCAACGGGAGCCTCGTGGCTCCAACTGGACTTGGCCCAACTGGACTTGGTCCAACTGGACTTGGTCCAACTGGACTCAGCGTCACCCGAGTGACGACAGCCAGAAGACCAGATCCCGAGGCTGCCATTTATCCACATCCACCGCTTGGGAGACCGATCGTCCTGGACCTACCTCGGGAGGCGGTGGATATGGACAATATACGTTTGGGTATCAGAGAAGGCCTGAACACATCCACATCCACCGCCCCCTAGGGCTCCAGGGCATCGGCTTAAAATGGAGGCAGGATCGGAACGAAATCGGATCGGGATACATCGAAAATCTCTGAGATCTGGCAGTCCTGCGGGATGCAGGGATGCATCGGGCGCCGCGGCCTGCTCAGGGCGCTCAGGAGCGCTCCGAGAGAGTCCCGGAACGTCATGGAGCGATCTACCCCGATCCTGGAGCCGATGTGCAATTCCTCAGGGGATGGATCCAGACCCCCGACGTCCTGATTGTTTCATGACTTCGGTCTCGACCCGTTCCCCCGGACCGGTTTCTCATCCCGAGTTGTGTTTTCATGGTCCCGGGGCTCGGCGAGGGCCCCCAGACGCGAGGAGTCTTGGAATCCCCGCCTCGTAAAGATGACGTCGTCCGGGTGCGCTTCCATGCGGCGCAGTGCTTCGCGCATGCCGTCGTGCAACTCTCGGTTCTCCGGCGGCGCCCACGGGCGAAAGGAGGAGGAGGAGAAGGAGGTGGACGAGGAGGAGGAGGAGGATGAGGATGAGGATGAGAAGGAGGAGGATGAGGATGAAGATGATGATGCTGCTGCTGATGATGATGATGATGATTCTGATTCTGCTGATGCTGCTGATGATGCTGATGATGAGGATGAGGAGAAGGATGCTGTTGATGATGATGAGGATGATGATGAGGATGATGACGATGATGCTAATGATGATGATGATGATGATGATGATGATGATGATGATGATGATGATGATGATGATGATGATGATGATGATGGAGGAGGAGGAGGAGGAGGAGGAGGGAGGAGGAGGAGGAGGAGGAGGAGGAGGAGTAGGAGGACAGACGAAGGAGTATTTCCAAACTCGCTACAGGCTGAAACGGTCATCGGCGAAGTACTTGCGGGAGAGTCCGTTGCCCCAGAAACAGGGGGGATGTGGATGAGGATGAGGATGAGGATGAGGATGAAGTAGTTAGACAGACGACAGCAGGGGGGGATGGGGATGAGGATGATGATGAGGATGATGAGGATGAGGATGAGAATGAGGATGATGATGAGGATGAGGATCTTGATGATGAGGATGATGATGTTGATGTTGATGATGATGCCGATGATGAAGTTGCTGCTGATGATGAGGATGAGGATGAGGATGATGCTTATGATGATGATGATGATGATGATGATGATGATGATGATGATGATGATGATGATGATGATGAGGATTAGGATGCTGCTGCTGCTGATGATGATGCTGTTGCTGATGATGATGAGGATGATGCAAATGACGATGATGGTGAGGATGATGATGCTGATGTTGCTGCTGCTGCTGCTGATGATGATGATGATGCAAATGACGATGATGATGCCGATGAAGATGATGATGCTGATGAGCTGATTATGGTGACGAGGAGGAGGGGGAGGAGGAGGAGTTGGATGATGATGATGCTGATGATGATGCTGATGCTGATGATGCTGCTGATGATGATGCTGATGACGATGACGATGAGGACGAGGAGGACCAGGATGATGAGCATGATGACGATGCTGATGCTGATGATGCTGATGATGATACTGATGCTGATGATGATGATGACGCTGCTGCTGATGATGCTGATCATGAATCTGATGATGACGCTGATGATGCTGCTGATGCTGAGCATACTGCTGATGATGATGAGGCTGATGATGAGGAGGAGGATTATGATGGTGCTGATGCTGATGATGATGCTGATTTTGATGCTGATGATGATGGTGATGATGATGCTGATGATGCTGCTGCTGATGATGATGACTATGATGCTGCTGATGCTGATGATTGATGATGATGATGATGATGATGCTGATGCTGATGCTGATGATGAAGCTGATGATGATGCTGATGATGATGATGCTGATGCTGCTGGTGATGATGCTGCTGATGATGATAGCGGTGATGCGGATGATGTTGCTGATGGTGGTGCTGATGCTGATGATTGATGATGGTGATGTTGATGATGCTGATGCTGATGCTGATGATGTAGCTGATGATGATGACGATGATGATGATGATGATGCTGCTGATGCTGCTGCTGATGATGATGGTGCTGCTGATGATGATAGCGGTGATGCTGATGATGATAATGGTGATGGTGGTGATGGTGGTGATGGTGATGATGATGATGATGATGATGATGATGATGATGATGATGATGATGATGATGCTGACGATGAGGATGCGGATGCGGATGAGGATGATGATGATGCGTATGATGATGATTATGATGATGCTGCATATGATGCTGATGATGATGCTGCCCATGCTGCTGCTGATGATGATGCTGCTGTTGTTGATGCTGATGATGCTGTTGATGCTGATGATGATGATGATGATGCTCTTGTTGACGATGCTGATGATGCTGATGATGCCGATGAGCTGCTGCTGATGATGATGCTGGTGGTGGTGGTGGTGAGGATGATGATGATGCTGCTGCTGATGATGATGATGATGCTGATGATGATGCTGATGATGCTGCTGCTGCTGATGATGATGATGACGATGACGATGACGATGACGATGATGATGATGATGATGATGATGATGATGATGATGATGATGATGATGATGATGATGATGATGATGATGGTGGTGATGATGA